AATCGATGAAAGCGTTGCAGGTCGCCTCTCCGATCTGAATGCGTATGTGCAACAATGGCGCGCCGATGTCGTCGTACCGTTGTGTCTTAAACTCGCGGTCGATCTTTGCAACGTAGCCGTGAAGGTCGATAACCGTTACTCCGGCGTCCATCAACGAAGCTGGTACTGCAGTGTGCAAGTAATCCCGCAATTGTGCCTTGAGCACGTTGCAATGCGGTTTTGACAATCGACCGGTCGGGGGAACGGGCATCCATTGGAAGTCCGCGAACGTCAACGGGTCGAGCGCTTCAAGTCTTGACCATTACGTCGAATCCCCGACGATAGATGGCGGCGAAGCTAACGAATTGGTTGCCGATGGTGGTGAAACCGTGCATGTGGTGGATTGTTGCACATGGAGTCGTTGGTCCAACGGTGGGACCAAGTGGACAGCGTAATCCTCGTAAGATTACCGAGGACTTGCGACATGCGCCTCCTCCCCAGATGTGTAGGAGGCCGCTAGCAAGGCGGCCGAATCTGGCGGAGTGAGAGGTGGAGTCGCCTCACCTCCCGCGCAGCTCAGTTTCCCGAGTTGTGGTACTGGCTGTACATTTCCGGCCGACGATGCGGTTTTCGCCTTCCCTTTTCCCGGGATTTGTTGCTGCTTCGCGGCTGGACGGCGGCCACCTGATCTCCCTCACGTGATGCTTGGGTGGCTGCCAGGTCTTCCACAATGGTGTCCGGTTGGACTGCAGCGACATGCTGCGGACGCGGACCAAATTTTCGCTTCTCCACATGGGCTGGCTGCCACGCTGTCTTCTCGTGTGCAGCAGCTCGGTTGGCCTTGATGATCTCTCGGATGGTTCAAAATGCCGGAACTTGAGCTTTTCGATGCTGGCGGCTTCGTGCCGCTGTAGCAGATCCTGGGCCTCCTTGCGGCATGCCTGGGTACCTGCGTCTGCTTCGGCCTGAAGCCGCTGCTTTTCAGCTGCTGCTTTTGCTTCAGCCTGTAGGCGGGCAGCCTCGGCTGCGGCCTGACACTGTTCCTCGGCCCCTTGATCAAAACGAGCTGAGCTTGGAACCGCTGTCGGTACTCGGTAATGGACTCGTTGGCCAGTTGGCCTGTGTTACATGCCCAGTTGGGCGATGTACATAGAAACCGAGGATCCGCAATGTGATGAAAAGGACTGAATGGACAATGCAGTGCAAGTAGAATCTCAACAAGCAATGTGCATTCTAATACATACAAAATGGTGCTGAATAGCGCAGGGAAGACTTAGATACAAATCCTGACCTGACCGGGACTGACCTCATTCACATAGTATCAGATAGCGAAGCAGAATGCTAATGACTAGCCCAATCAATGTTTGAATGCAGACCAAACATACATCGTATCCATCACAAGGTGTGAAGGAGCCTGGCGCTGTACACAGGAAGAAAGCGCCAGGTCCAGACATACACAGACGAAGAGGAGGGGATGAGACGAAGAGAGGGGGAGAGATGGGAATGTCGTCAACACCAAGTCTTTGTCACAAGTCCCAAATAATCCCTCGTCAAAATGTCTGAAGCCCAAAAGTCGAGTCTGGATCCAAGGTCACCAAGCTCTCTCTCTCACTCTTCTCGCATAGTCTGCAGATGCAGTGAAGTCAGATAAGGAGAGGGTGAGAGGGAGATGGTGGACTGAGAAGAGGAAGAAGAAGAACTCTCTCTCTGTCACGAGCCAGATACTAACCTGTGATGTTGGCGCTGTGCTGCAGGTACCTCGAAGACAAAGCTGGAGCAACGGCGCTGCAGGTAAGTACCTCTGGCCTCCGCCCAATCTCTCTCTCTCTAGTGCTATCCTAGCTATGGCGCCAAGCGCTGGAGACTACAGCTACCTACTGCGCCCAGCGCTGAAGACTAAGGCTAACGGTAGTACTCCTGCAGCGCTCCCTCCAGCCGAATCCTGAAGACTACTACTGCGTCCTGCAGCGCTCCCTCCAGAGTGCTGCTGCCGAATCCTGAAGACTACTACTGCCTCCTGCCTCCCCGTGAAGTGCATGGGAAGTTCCTATGTACTACCTCGGCCTGCCTCCTGACTGCCTGAAGGGCGAGCCAGGCTGAGGAGGCTGCTCTTGCCAATGCCGAAGTGTGCCAGGGGCTGGCGCTGCAGCAGCTGCTGAGGCTGGCGTGGGAACAGGCTAAGAATAGCCTGTTCCCGAAACCCTGGTTCGGTGCCTGAGTTTCAGGGCCGGTCGTTCTGATGAACGACCGAAAATGGCCCTTCGTTTCAGGCTAAAAAGGCTATTGCCATTTTTAGTCTGAAACGACACAGGGAGTGTAGGCCCCTGTTTTCAGGCTTTCGGGCTGAACAGTTACGGGGCCTGTAGGCCCTGGTTTTCAGGCTTTTAGCCTGAATTTCAGGCTTTCAGCCTGAAGGACGCAGGGCCTGGAAAATGGCCCTCGTGTGCAGGCGCAGCATGTAACACCAGGCATGCCCAGAACTGAGATCGTCATGGTGGTGGGGCACCTCTGATGTGGCACTGCTGACGTGGCACTGTTGCTGACGTGGCACTGTTGCTGACATGGCACTGCTGACGTGGCACTGTTGCTGATGTGGCACTGCTGACGTGGCACTGCTGACGT